GCAAGTTACACGTTGATTTGGTATTGTGAGACCCACTTAGTCCATGAGAAACATTTTATAATGGCTAGTTCTGTTTATCTTGGATGTATTTATCTTATTTTCTATTAAATGTTGAATTCCTACTGAGAGACACTGGTTTTTTCTCCCCTTTTCATTCTGATGATGCTCATTTCTTGTTTGACAGACTTAGAGAAAAATGTAGGACACAGGTAGGGAAGATGCATCCAATTCATAAGAGAAGTTAATGAATCACTTCAGATTAGCAGCCACTGATAGAGAAGGTTATTCTATATAATCATTTACTATCTCAGACTTCTAGTGCTGTTTATTTTCTGCCAAGACAATTGTTATAGATTTTAGATTGATTATTGTTTCTCGATATAGATTCAACAGCTTGAGGTTCAAACTACGCAATGCTGGGCTTTTGTTCTAGCCAGATATTTCCACATCATCTCGATTGATAATAAATGATGAAATTTGGAGAATAATGCATTCAGCTTTGGTCTTTGATTGCATATTAATTATATATGTATATCTTCCTTTCAAGAAAAGAAAGTCTGATATCGTAGCTTGAATCTCAGCTTGCTGCCCTTTTAAAAATAGAGCCCATATAATGAAAATAGGGATAAATATCATGTGATGGTCATTTTTTGGGCTATATTTTGTTGTTGCTGCTAGCACCAGTTAGTTATTAGAGTAGATTTCTCCCTTCCTCCTTTATTATTAGAAAAAGAGATACAAGAAATGACTGAAACTGAAGGTCATATTGCTTGGCTTTATAGGGACAGATGGTCATTGCTCATGTTAGCTAGAAGCTTGATGCTGACTTCTGGACTTCAGCTGTTCAGTAAGTATATTAGAGATAATTTAGCTTCAGGTGGTCCTAACCCTGGTGCTGCCAGATCTCCTGTCACCTAGATGTAAAATATCTGGGCAGTGATTCCTACTCAATACCTTTGTTATAGTACTTAATTATGAACTGTAAATAAAAGTTCTTTAATTACAACTTAGAGCTCACTATGCCGGTTTTGCTTCAGTCAGTTGGGATTCAGGATTCTAGGATGTAATTTAAGAAAGTATTGGAAAATAATCATAAGATAATAATAGCTAAATTATATTTAGCCTTAATGTTTGCAAAGTGTTTTACATATGTTATTTCATTTGTTACTCCAAACAATCCTGTGAAATAGGTGCTATTATTATCCCCATTTTGCAGATGAGGAAACTGAAACTGAGAAATAGTAAGTGGATTACCTAGCATCTTATAGCTAATAATTATCTGAGACAGGATTAGAACTTAGACCTTTCTGATTCCAAATCCAACACTTCATCCTCTGTTAAATCCTGTGAAATCTTTAGCCAGAAAGTAATGAAAGTACGATTAGACTTGGGTGCAGTTGGAGGGGACAATTTTTATTTAGTGAACTCACTTTTTGCCATGCCTAAAATTAGTCAGCTCTAGAATAAGGATACTGTTTCTTAATGCTTAAGGGTTGCTTTATTTGCAGATTCCCCCCCTCCCCCTTTCCACATAGCCTCAAGACCCTGGTTCTGTGGAAAGAGGCCTGGGTTCAAATTCTGACTCAGCTCATTACTACATTGATGACCATGAGTAAGACACTTTTCCTTTCTGGCCTCAGTTCCTCCTCTCTAAAATGAGAAGGGTTGGACTAAAGAGCCCCTGAGGCACTTCCAGCTTTAAATCTATGATCCTATGATCCTCCACATTTGCTATCTAATAGATCTTCATTGAACTTCTAGGAGACAGTATTTTTCCACAGATAAAAGTAACTAGCCATTGAATGAAAGGACATTGAGACCCATCCTGTTTTCCAGCTTCAACCTGGGCCAGATTTAGGATCTTTAATCTATCAGTCTTTGGGTTTAATAGCCCTATAAAAAGAATGCTGCACTTGGAGTTGAAAGAGCTGAGTCAGGTTCAAATCTGGCCTCAGACCAAATACTTGACACTTATTAGTTGTGTGACCCTGGGCAAGTCACTTAACCCCGATTGCCCCCCCCCCCCAAAAAAAGCTGAGTCAGGAAAAAAAAGGAAGAAACTAACACTAATTGTATGACTCTGGGCAATCGAACTTCACCTTTGTGAGTTTGCTCATCTATAAAATAGGTAGCTTTATACTGGCACTCCCTTCCAGGGCTTTGTAAACCTTAAAGTACTATATAAAAATAAGTTGTCCTTATTTAGTCAATGATGCATTAGCATCCAACACTACTGTCTACATTGCATAAGATAACATCCCACTCCAGGACAGTTGAGTAAACAATCTTACATAAATATTGCCCCATTTTGGGAAACCCTAGGGGACTTCCTGAATTAACAAGGACAAAAGTTTCTGTTGATCTTAGCAGAAAGCTCCTTGTGTCTTAGATAGCTTCACCACACTGTCTGTAGAGATATGGATTTTGAGCAGTGTAGAGATTCTAGATTTTGAAGCCTACCTCAGACACAATAACTGTATAATACTGTTACAACTTTGAAACCTCAACTTCTTCATCAAAAAAATGGGAATAATAATAGTATGCACCATACAAGGATGCTATGAAGATCAAATGAGATAAAATATGTATATATGTATATATATGTACACATATATAGTGCTTTGCAAATCCACATGAATATTAGATATGCTGTATTACTACAAGATAATAATATGCTTATTTTGGGTAATATTGTAATGAAAGGCAACATGACTTATTGTAGCTGTCTTTTTTTAAAAAGTTTTTTTTATTGATTCTTTAAAAAATTACTTCATTTATTATTCATTAATTTTTCATTTGCCATAATGGGGAGAGAAATGAACTCAGCACCAGGAAGAACTGTGTTTGAATCCTACTTCATCCACTTACCTGCTATGTGACAAAAAACAACTCCCTTAACCTCTCTCAGCCTCAGTTTCTTTAGTGGTAAAATGGGGGAAGATTCTAACACCTACCTCACAGGGTGGTTGTAAGGATCATAGGAAATAATATATGTAAAGTTCCTTGAAGACCTTAAAATGGAAATATAATTGTCAGTTCTGATCACGTGGAGAATATCCCAGAGAAAAATCAGAGATGCAAAGAGAGAGAATTGTACATCAATAACCAAACTGGACAAAGGAACTCAATTTTCTTATATCCAGCCTGGAATATCAGCCACTGCACCATTTCCTCGTGATACTTGATTGAAATATCAGAAAATACTGAAAGAAAACAATCTAAATCCAATTCTACATTAAAGATGCTGAAGGAAGAAAATAAACTCAGTTAAGGAAAAAAAGAACTCATTGGAATAATGACTATTGAAGAGACACGGGCCTGTGTCATAGGCATCAAAGGCATATTTCATAATGTTAATCTGAGGAATAACAAACTTACATGGAGAGGACCCTGCCCCCCACCTCCCAGCAGATTTATATCCCCATTTCAATACTGAACTAAGCCAGTATAAAACTGAGTCGGGGTGGGGAACCTTCGGCCTCGAGGCCACGTGTGGCCTTCTAGGTCCTTGGATGCAGCCTTTTGACTGAGTCCAAGTTTTACAGAACAAATCTTTTTATTAAGGGGCTTTGTTCTGTGAAGTTTGGATTCAGTCAAAGGGTGGCACTTGAAGATCTAGAGGGCCACAGGCGTCCTTGAGGCTGCAGGTTCCCCACCCCTGACTAGGCAAAGCTCCAGCAGCTTACAGACTAGCTCACACCTTTAAAAAGAAGAGAAGAAAACAGTACTAGTAAGATGCTAGCTTTTACCTCCACACTACTGCTCCCTCCTCTATCACATACAAAGATACATCACTAAAATCATGAATTTCGAAAAGTCCTTATTCAAATGGCACCTCCTACATGAAGCCTTCCCTAATCTGTTGGTAACAAGAACAGCTAGCTCTCCACCTTTCCCCAAACAAGGCAGTTTTCAATTCTCTAAATGCACTTCTCTTGATTTTCGTGTAGAATTGTTTATCTATGTATAACCTTTGTGCACATTTGCCTATGCAAAAAGAGAATGCTGATTGGTGGAGAGAATGGTGACTTGGATGCTGTAAGTACAGCACTCTGGGCTTGGCTTGAAACCTGGGCTACATTTTTGGGTTTTATCTCCTTACTAGACTTTAAGTTCCATGAGGGAAGTATCCTTACTTTATCTAAGTTTAGTGTCTCTCTCAGATACTAATACAGAGCGTTGTATGCAGAAAGTGCTTAATAAATATTTGTTGAATTGAACTATTCTCTCCCCTGACCCTCTTCCTGCCCTTTACTTCATTCTCTCCTAAGTCTACCACCCACAGGTTTCCTCCAGTGATCTGGCACGTTGGGGATTTGGCAAAGCTGATAGGTAGCATTCATTCCAACCTAGACTTGCTCTCATCTTGGCTTTGCTGCGATTTCACATGAGATTCAAGTTTCTTTAATTGCTTTCATTTTTAAAAGGCTTGGGTTGTTGTTTTCTTGTTTGCTTTTGTTCCTTAAAAATATACATTTTGAAGAGCTTGCTTGGTTTATTTTGTATTTTTTTTTCTACTTGTTCTTCTTTCCATCTCCTTCATTTCCTCCTTGTCTTCTTTCTCTTCCTTCTTTTCTCTTTAATAGGCTGGGGAGAGGGCAAGAAGGCTTTCATTTCCTCAATCCAGGCTTAGGTTACTGATACCCCCTGTCATTATTCTACATTCCACAAATGCCAACACTGGGTAATGTGGGAAGGCCTGAAAGAATTTTGGAACCATTTTACCACCCTTGTTCATCATGGGTGGTAAATCATTCTCAACACACTAGAGTATGACTTCAAAAAAACTCTGCTGTTTTCCCAAGTGTCTTAGTTTCCGAACTTGCAGAAATAAGAGAAATTACAAGCAGCTCCATGCATCCGAATCTAGATTCTGATTGCTCATGAAGAGAGGTTATTACTTGAAATGGTGAATGGGGGTTAGTCTTCTCAAAATGCACTACAGTAACCTCTGTTCATTCCTTTCATTCTTTTGAAGATTTCCGTGGTGTGATCTGCATACCAAAACAATTCATACCAGGAGGCAGAGGCTGAATGAAGGCTCCGTAGGCATGCCACACCTGCCCTGTGCTAAGCCCCTGCTCAGTAGCAGGAGCTTCTCAAAAATGACATAGCTTCTATCCTGGCCAACTATTTTAGACCTTCTTTGAAACAAGGTATACTGATGAATTATACTCCTCTCCCCTGTCCCTTTCCAAATTCCTAGTATTCTTTCCAGCTGTATGAGACACAAGTTTAACTGTACATGTTTCAGGAGAATCTGAAAATTGAGGCTGTAGACATATACTGCAGCAGTACTTGCTGCTGCTGCTGCTGCTGCTGCTGCTACTGCTACTACTACTACTGACAACTCACATATTGTTGAGTTTTCCTAAAGAGCTGATCAGTCTCATTAGCTCTCTTTCTGTTCTAAACAGACCAGTTAACACATTTCTTGACTTACCTTAATAATTTCATCTTCCATTAGGTAAAGTAAAGAAGCATCGTGGCTCAGGCCTGTAGCTCCTGCTGGTGTGGAGGTTGAAGCAAGTGAATTGTCTACATTAAGTCTCTCTTTCTGTGCTATGACTTGGGAAATCCACCTAGCCCTATGTTCAGGTAAGTTCTGCTAGACTTACCCCTCCCTACCTAGGAGAGGTATTAATCCATTGTAATGTGCTTTACAGGAATAACTGTGTGTCATATATTTATTATGATTATTAATAAATATTCTGTTTTCATTATTTAGAAGTATTTTTTTTTTTTGGCAAGGCAATCGGGGTTAAGTGACTTGCCCAGAGTCACACAGCTAGTAAGTGTCACATGTTTGAACTCATATCCTTCTGATTCCAGGAATGGTTCTTTATTCACTGAGCCACCTAGCTGCCCCTAGAAGTAATTTTTGATAAATGAATAAAACATTTTTTAAGTTCTTTCCTTGTGCAAAGAAGCACTATACTAAGGGCTAGTGATAGAAACAGAAAAGTAAGATAGTTCCTGTTCTCTTAATAATAATAATAATAATGATCTTCCACTAGAATGTGAGATCTTTGAGAGAAGACAACATATATGTTTGTTTGTTTGTTTGTTTTTTTCGGAGGCAATCGGAGTTAAGCGACTTGCCCAGGGCCACACAAGTAGTAAGAGTCATGTGTCTGAGACCAGATTTGAACTCAGGTCCTTCTGACTCTAAGGCTGGAGCTCTGTCCACTGCACTATTTAGTTGCCCCGAGAAGACAATACATGTGGAAGGTTTCAGTTGCAAGTGGGATGGAAAGGTCCCATGGACCTAAGAATGTAGCATTAAAGTAGATGGTAATGCCTCTTTTTTGATGTCATTTCCATTGATGAAATCAAAACAGTTTCTGATATTGAGCCATTCAGCGCTGGGCTATAAGCACAGCTATTCCGAAAGCTCTTAGGTTCAGGGCCCAGGGGTGTCTCTATAAGAGTCTGAGGGGAGATGATACTCAAAGTGGTGGTGGTTTGAGCTGCCTGATTTACACTGCCTCTAGTCTCTCCCTCAGGAGCTAGGCTGGCTCGCCTGCCCTGTGAGTGGTAGTTGATTGGGAGCTAGTGAGTATGGTTGGCCCCTGGTCCATAGGTGTTACCTTCTTAGATGGTGGCTGAGAGGGATAAGTGGGAAGCAGGACTCATGGTCTGGGGAGTACTGCACCCCCACCCCCAGGGCTTCTGCAGTTATCCACCTATTGGTGGGAGTTGACCAGAAGTTCTTGCTGGTGGTGATGAGAAAAGTGAGTACTTTTTCACAATGATTCCTCCCCTCCATAAGAGGAGGGGGCTGGCCTAGAGGCAGGTTTAGTGGCCTTGGGGACACTGCTATTCTCAAGACTCTTGGGTTTAGGGTCCTGGCCTAGCTCCATTAGAGTTTTTATTTTTTAGTGAGGCAATCGGGGTTAAGTGACTTGCCCAAGGTCACACAGCTAGTACGTGTCAAGTGTTTGGTCTGAGACCGTATTAGAACTCAGGTCCTCCTGACTTCAGGGTCAGTGCTCTATCCACTGCACCACCTAGCTGCCCCTCCATTAGAGTTTAAAAAGAAATAGTGGTCAAAATGATGGTGGTGGTTTTTAAAAGAGAAAATAGGGGTCAGGTTTTGATAGACTGACATTCTTGTTACTGTGTTCATAGTTCACCTGGTATTCCATATGCTTGGTACTTCAATTTGTATTAGATAAATACGTGTGTTAATGAGCTAAGAATTCCCTTATAGCTTAAATGCTGATAGTCCTCTAAATTTCTCTTTTTTCTTGAGTAAAATTATGTGTAAAATTAAGATTTGCAGGTACCCAATAACCAAAACCTAAAAAGATTCTAGGAGTTCAGCATTTAAATGGATTTGGGGGTTCATCAGACTTATTAAGTGGGAGAAAATTATGCACCCCTTCTAAGTAGACTACTTAATACCAGTTGCACATAGCCATGCTCCATTCTCCCTGGCCTGCAGGAATTTGAAATGCCATCTTGAAATGCTGTGAACCAAAGGGAACAAGGACTGCCAGTACCTTCCCTTCCTATTGCCTGCAGGCATTTGAGCAGTTGACTTGAAATATCCACGGAAGGTAGGGGAATTGGTCAGACCCACAGCTAGCTGGCTTTTCTAATGACTGCAGGTTTTGCACCAGGGGAAGATGTGGATAAAATACCACGATGGTCATCATTATTCCTTAAGAACTGTTTGTTTCCTTTGCTAAATATCTTGCTGATCTTATTCTCAAAGAGTGCTTAATTGGAGTGTAGGTTAAAATCATAATAATTTTGATGTTGTTAGAGTGGAGAGTTATCCTTTAGTAGGGCTAGATTAGTGATTTAAAACCTTTCTAGTGCTCAGAACTTTTTATTATGTCATAAGGCCTCTCCATCTTATTGTTGCTAAAAAAAAAAAGAGTCACTAATATTAAAGCCAAACTTGGCACTGCTTTTGGTGAGAAATAAATAAAGGCAGCATGCTCTTTGGGGAAAGGGCAATGGGCAGAAAGTCAAACAATTTGAGTTCTGGTTCTGGCTACTAACTCACTCAATATATCATCTTGGGGATCATCTCACCCTAGTCTAGAGTCTCTCTTTCCTCATCCCTAAAATGAGAGAGTTGGAGTAGATCTCTAAGAGCTCTTCTATTTCTTTCTTTCTTTCTTTCTTTCTTTCTTTTTTAGGAAATTGGGGTTAAGTGACTTGCCCAGGGTCACACGGCTAGTAAGTGTCAAGTGTTTGGTCTGAGGCTAGATTTGAACTCAGGTCCTCCTGACTTGAGCTCTTCTATTTCTTGCACCATATGATTCCATAGTTCTATTATGGTTGTCTTAAGTAAATAATGAATTCATTTTAGAATAAAATTAACATATACTTACTGTGCTAGATTGTGAACGATACAAGATAAAATAGTGCCTGCTTTGAAGGAATTTAGTTTGGTCGGGGAACAAGGTACAAAGATATGAAAACTTAAATATGTGAGTATATATTGAGATATATGAGAATATATGAGTACTTGTCAATTTCCCTCCCTCCCAAATCCCTATACTGTAAACTCTAAAACACAAAGTGATCAAAGTGAACAATTCCAATAACAAATTCAGTAGGCAAACAAAAGAAAGATCTTCAGTGTTATAGGAAAGGAAATTCGCATTACACAAAACTATTTTGTACCCACCAGAAATTGCAAAAGGGAATGGAATGTTTTCCAAATCACAAAGAAGCTCAGGAAGCAATCCAAAATGACATACTCCAAAAACCTGAGCCTAATCATCAATGAAAATATAGGCAATCAATAAAAGGGAAATATTCAAAGCATTCTCACCCCCCCCAAACTAAAACCAGATGTGAACAGATTATTAGCTTTGCAAACACCTCAGACAACAGAAACATAAGACCATTAAACAAAGACAGAAACCAAGGAAGGCACAAGTAACAAATAAAACCAGATAAAGGGGGAAAACCCTTAGAAAGTGAGACATTGATGTGTTAAAAACAACAATAACATAGGGACCAGTAAGAAATTTCTTCCTAAAAGTACATGAGAATACAATGGTGAAAGTGGAACTTAAATAAATGAAGAGATGATGGAGAAACAGGCCTGAAACACCAAGGAGTAAGCCCTTCCTACAGGTGAATCAATGTTTTTGTAGGACTAAACTGCAGAATGGGAGAACATGTGCAAGGACAAAGGGCAGGAAAAAAGATAGGGTGGAGTGACCATAATCAAATCAATGACAAACAAAGGGAAAATTACTCCTGTAGTTTCTGAGGAAAAAAAAATGGCCTATAGTAGAATGGATGAGGTAGCAAAGAGAGGGATTGAGATAGGAGAAAAGAAAGGGGAAATCTGGATTCAGTGGGACAAGAAATAAAACTTCAAAACTAGGAAAAAAGATAACCAACATGGGGTGGGAGTGGGGAGGGAGGCTTAATTTGAGTGGAAGAGAGTGTGTGGGGATAGGGTTGCCTTAAAGTATATTAAGCAAAAATTACTGAAGAGACAAATTTCTGTCTTTAGTAGAGGAAGAGGAACAATAAGAACAAAAACAAAAATCTCAATTTGGGAAAAAAAATCAAGACAAATGGAGGAAAAATAAATCCAACTTGTAACTTTAAATGTGAATGGGTTAAACAATCCAACAAAATTAAAAAGAGTGACAGATTTGATAGGAAAACAAAACTCCACAATATGTTGCTTATGGGAAAAACACATAAAAAGCAGACACATACAAAACTAAAATGAGGGGCTGGAACAAAACTTACTATGCTTCAGGTAAATTTTTTAAAAAAGCAGGAGTTGCAGTTATGCTATCAAAGTAAAAATAAAAATTGACAACACCAAAAGATACAAACAAGGAAACTTCATCATATTGAAAGGAACCATAGGAACAAACCAATGTTGATATTGAATTTATATGCTCCAAATGCTTTCATATCAAAATTCATAAAGGAAAAATTAACTGAATTATAATAAAACATAACATAATAGTGGCAAGAGATTTCAACGTGTCTCTCTCTCTGTTTTGTGCAAATTTAAGAGAACAATAAACAAAAGGGAAAATATAGACTTGAACAAATTTCTGGAGAAACTAGAGCTAAAAGATTGATGGCATCTCCTAAACTGGGCTACTAAAAATATCCATATTTCTAATCACATAGAACTTTTGCAAAAAATGACCATGGTCTAGGACAGTGCTTCTTAAACTGTGGGTCATGACCCCATGTAGTCATGAAAAATTTGGCAACAGTAAGGTTTCTGAACATGCAATGACCAAAAATTAATTCAAAGTCAATGATGAATTTTTATATGATAACAACATAATGAATCCAAGGTGTTTCTGGCAGTGCTTGCCCATATTGCATTGTGCAACTTCTCTGCAGCCTTGGTTCTGAACACAAGGCATGATCACTTTGCACTGTGCATGCCCTCAGACCAGACAACACCAATGAACACTGCTGAATCTTGAAAAGGGGTTATAAGTGGAAAAAATTTAAGAAGCCCTGGTCTAGTAAACAGACATATTTTAAATAAATATAAAAAGGCAGAAATAGTAAACACATACATTATTTATAGGCCATAGCTCAATTAAAAAATAGTAATCAATTTCAGAAAGTGAAAACAAAAGACACAGATATAAATGAAGATTTAACAATGAAATCTTTAATACTGAGTGAATCAAAGATCAAATTATATAAAAACTTAATTATGTGAAAAACGATAATGAAAACATCAAACTTTTTGGAGGCATCTAAAGCTTAAGAAAGATTATATTTACAAAAACATACATTAACAAAGTAGGAAAAGAGATGATTAATAAATTGAATATCCATTTAAAAATTATAAAGTCAACCAATAAACCTAACCAAGTAAGCAAAAAGAGAGGAGCTATTAAAAAATCAGAACAGAAAAAGATAAACTGGAAAAGAGCATAGAAGTGATATATAATACTAAGCTGGTTCCTTGAAAAGCCTAACAAAATTGATAAACCTTTAATCAACCTGATTAAAAAGAAGACAGAAAACCAAATCAGTAAAATAGAAAATGAAGAAGGTGAAATCACAACAGAAGGAATAAAAAGAATATACTAACAAAATTGAGAACACAAATGAAATAGTGGAATACTTCTAAACATAAAAAAAATACCCAAATGAACAGAAAACAAAATAAGAATTTTAATCCGATATCAGAAAAGGAAATAGAATTAGCTATAAAGAGAACTATTTAAACAAAAAAGCTCCTGGTTTTTACAGGATTTACAGGAGAATTCTATCAGATTTTTAAAGAATGATTAGTACCAATATTACATAAATTATTCTCAAAAACTGGGAAATAAATTAGTATATCAGGCATTTTTTTAAGGAGACATAGTCCTCATACTTAAACATGGGAAAAACACAGCACAGAATATCATTAATGAATATTGATTTAAAAATCTAAATAAAATCTGTCAAAGAGACTCCAACAATTCAAGAAATCAAACATATGACCGAACTGGATGTATACCAAATATGGTTCAGCATTAGGATAACAATCAACATACTCACATTTTAAAAAATCCCAAACAAATCATCTTAATAGATGCAAAAAAAAAAAGCTTTTGACAAAATACCACACTCCTTTATGCTTTAAAAAAAAACCCTATAAAATATAGGAATTGAGAGACTTCTTTAGTATCATAAAATCATCAATCTAAAACTAAAAGCAAGCATCATATGCAATGTTAATACACAAGATGTTTTCCTGATAAAACAAAAGTAAAGAAAGCATGCCTACTCCACTATTATTGGATATAGCTTTGGAAATTCTAGAAATAATTAAAAAAATAAAGTTGTAAAGATAAGAAAAGAGGAGATAACACTAATCCTATTTTCTAAAGACATGATAGTTCACACAGAAAATTCTAGGGAATCAGAAAAATATTAATAGAGGTGATTAATAACTACAGTAAAGTTGAGGCTACAAAAAGCCCATAAAAATCAAGCATTTTTAGATAATAATCAGAAAATTCAAAGATGCAATAATAGAAAAGGAAATTCCATTCAAAATGTTCCTTAAATAAGGAACAACTTAAACAGCTGGAAGAATATGTAGTGCTCATGACTGGGTCATGCCAATGTAAAAAAAAATGACAAAACTACCAAAGTTAATTTATGATTTTAAACAATCAAGCTGTCAAACTTGATAAACTAATATCAAAATTCGTTTGGAAAAATAAAAGATCTAGAATATTAAGGGAAATAATGAAAAAAGATAGGATGTAGTGGGAATAGCATTTCCAGACCTTAAACTATATTATAAAGCAGCAGATATCAAAATCATTTGGTATTGGTTAAAAAATAGAGAAGTAGATCAGTGAAACAGATTAGACAAGGGAGAATCAGAAACAATTAAACACACCAACCTAGTGTTTGAGAAAACTGGAAACCAACACAATTTATTTAAGAAAGAATTTCCAGTGTAAAGTGGATGGTTTTGATTACATTAAATTTAAAAGATTTTGTACGAATAAAACCAATTTAGCCAAGATTAGAAGGAAAGCAGAAATTTGGGGAAATTTTTATTGATATTGATATTGATTGATATTGATAAAAAATTTTATCTCAGATAAAGGTCTCACATTTTAAGTATATAGAGAACTTTGTCAAATTTATAAGAATAAAAATTATTCCCCAATTGATAAGTGATCAAAGGAAATGAACAAGCAGTTTTTCTATGAAGAAAACAAAACTATATGTAGTCATATAAAAAAAGGCTCTAAATCATTATTGATTAGAGAAATGCAAATTAAAACAACTTTGAGATATCATCTCACACCTGTCAAATTTGCTAAAATGATAGGAAGAGAAAATAACAAATGTAAGAGGAGCAATATGCTAATGTGGAAAGGAGAAATTAAAGAGTAGAATTTGCTATTTTTAGTAATTGGGGTATAGAAGAAGAGTATACAAGCATGGAGGAAGGGATGACGAGAATAGTTATCAGTTGAACCTCATTGTTAGCTGAAATAAAACAGAAGGATTTCCCTGATGTTTCACTTCATTACCCTGCAAATTGACAAAAATGACAAAAAGTGGCAAGTCAACATTAGAGGGGTCGTGGAAAGATTATACATTGTTGGTGGATTACATTGTTAGAGGAACTGTGAAATGGTAAAACCGTTTTGGAAAACAATTTGGAATTATGCAATTGAAGGGACTAAACTATCCATACCCTTTGAATCAGAGATCCCTTATTGGGTTTATACTCTAAGGAAGCCATCAGTAAGAATACAGTAGCACTTTTTTGTGATAGCTAAGATTGGAAATAAAACTGATGTCCATCATTTGGAGAATGGCTAAACAAATTCTGGTACATGAATGTAACAAATACTATTGTGCTACAAGAAATGATGTATATGATTATTATAGAAAAGCATGGATAGATCTATATGAACCAGTGAAAAATATAGTAAGCAGAGCCAAGAAAGCAATATACATAGTAACTAGAATAAAATAAATGGAAAGAAAAATTACATGCCAAAAATCAAAAGCAAATGTAATGAAATTACAAATATCAAACAGGGCTTGAACGATGAGATATGAGAAGACACTCCAACCTACTCCTTTGTGGAGGTGGGAGGTCCATAGGTGTTACACATTGTGCGTAATCCTGGACTTTTTTAATATCTCAATTGTAACTTTTTTTTTTCTCTAAAAAATATTATTTGTTATATGGGATAACTCTGTGGAAGGGAAAGGGGAAAAGGTACTTGGGATACTATGATAATGTAAAAAACAAAATATCAATAAAATTTTATTTAAAAATAACTGCCAGAATAACTGGAAGTAGTCAAGATAAAATTAGGCTTAGACTAACATACTACATGATATGCCATAATAAATTCAAATTGGAAAAGTGACTTTAACAGGAAAGATCATACTAAAAAAAATCAGAAGAGAAGCAGATGATATATCTTTCATAGCTATGGGTACGAGATGTATTTTTAACTAAAGATGGATAGAGGCAATTATGAAGGACTAGATAATATTGATTACTGGAAACTGAAAAGCTCATGCACAAACAAAATAATTGTATATAGGTTAAGAAGGGAAGTAGCCAAATGGGAAAAAAAAATTTGTATCCAATTTTTCAGATAAGGGTTTGGCATCTAGGATAGACAGGCACTCCCCACCCCAACACACACATTAAAGAACCTTTGGAGCATGCCCAGATCACTCTGAAGGGGCTTACTTGGCTATGCCCAGATCTCCTAACACGGTGATATCCTGTTCTTGGGATGGCTTCCTCTCCCAGTCTACGTTTTCCTACCACATGGATAGGAGTAGCCTCCTTACCAGAAAAGACTGTATTTTAAAAACTGGCCAGACTTGGACAGTCACTTTTTTTCCTACACACTCTTTCTACCTGCATCCAGATGGTGAAGATCACAGTTCACCTTCAGCACAGGTGCCATGAATTGAACTGATAAGGGGAGAAGGACTTCTTTCCTCTGCTCTCTTTTTTACTGTGGCTTCAAGAAATGGGACTGGAGGTGTTTGTTTCTGTTCTGTGCTGTTTTTCTTTCTCAGTTTCAAGTTGCAGAGGTGATCCTTACCAGAGTGGGAATTGGAGCCATGGAGACCTTGGAGCCAGAATTTCAGATGAGATATTACAGCCTGCCAGCCTGGCAGGGAAGCCCTGAGAAGCCAGGGTACCTGGGACTCTAGTCCAAGGAAGGTTTTGGACTTGGAAACTGGGAATGTGCTCTATAGGAATTGAATTTAGCTACAAACCTAATCCCCTACCCCTCCCTAGAGACTCAGGTGGTGAAAGTACAGAGGAGAATTAAGCTCCATGTGTTGAGGAGTAAATTTTATGTTTGAGATAATACGTTTGGAAATGAATATTCCTTTGTGAAAACGAATCTGTTAGTGGTTAAATGGAACTGAGATGCTGGGGACTCCTACAATTTGGAGAACACCATCAATGGGGGCTGGACCCAATGGCAGAAAATTTAGATGTCTCCCAATCTGCCTTGATGGTATCAGAATACTCTGGGGGAAGAATGAAATTTAATTCATCTGGCCTCCCAGGAAATGAGGTCGAAGGGGGGTGAATGTTACACATTGAGACCTTGTCTGGGATAAAATTGGGCCCTTTGCTTTGCAGAGAGTTGATTTTTTTTTTTGAGATACCCTACACTGGTGTTCTCCCAATTATAGGGGGCCATCCCTGGCTTTTGTCAATGAGGCTACTGCCATCCTCATGTAGGATGGGAGGGGACCCCTTCCAAGAGAAGGGTTACTCCATGTTATGTGATCTGAGAATACTCCAAAAACCCCTTATACATATATAACCAAAAGCTATTTATTCCATAATAGGTTAGTGATCAAAGGATATGAAGAAACGGTTGCCTGAAAGATTGCTCTGGATCATGAATAATAAAATAAATTCAAATAAAAACAACCTTGAGGTTTCACTTCAGAACCAGCAAACTGTCAAAGATGACAAAAGATAGGAATAGTCAATTCTGGATGGAGTTGCATGAAAATAGGCATATTACTGCCTTGTTGATGGAATGTGAATCAGTATAAATAATTTGGAATTATGAAAATAAAATGACCAAAATGTACATACCCTTTGACTGAGAGATTCCACTAACAGGCTTATACCCTATGGAGGTCATTGATGAGAAGAAATAAACACAAAAACATTTATAGAGGCACTTTTTGTAGTAGCAAAGAATTAAAAACAAAGTAGATGCCAGCTATATAGAGGAATTGCTAAACAAATTGTAGTACATGAGTGTAATGGAATATTGCTGTACTAGAAGAAATGATGACTCTAGAGAGGCATGGAAAGACATATGCTAACTGATACAGTTAAGTAAATCAAGACAAGAAAACAATATACACAATGACTATAACTATACATGGAAAAGAACAACCACAGTATCATCAAAATGAATGTCGCAAAGTTATAAAGAACAATAATGACCCCCAAGAAGAGAAATGAGAAGATATCTCCACCCCACTCCTTTGAAAAGGTGACGGCTCCATGGGTGTGGCACATTGCATATATTTTCAGATTTTTGGTGTGTTTATCAATTTTGCTGAATGTTCCCCTCCCCATTTTCTCCAGTCCTGTTTAGAAGATACCATTAGTCTTTTAGTTTTAGTCTTTCCAATTTGTGAAATTCTACATTTCCCTTTTTATCTTTTGATTAGATTTGTCCAAAACAGAGAGATACTTTAAAATATTCTGCCACAGTTATGTTTCTGCCTATTTCTTTTTATAGTTCAGTTAATTTTTCTTTTATGAATTTAGATGCTAAGGCATTTGGAGCATATAAGTTTAATATTGATCTTGCTTTGTTGTCTATGGTTCCTTTCGGTGTAATAGTTTCTTTTTAAATCTCTTTTTATGTTACAAATTTTAATTTTTACTTTGTCAGACAGAATTTCAGATAGAAAATAACCTGGTATATAATAAATTTTGTTCTAGTCCCTAATTTTTATTCTTGGTATATTTTTGTATTTTTTTTTGTAAGCAACAGATTATGGGATCCTGTTTTCTTATCAAATGTCACTTTTTTCATTTTTGTTGGATTGTTTCATCCATTCTCATTTAAAATTATGAGTTAGGTTTATTTTTCTTCCATTTATCTCTAATGTGTTTTTTTTTCCTAAATGAAAATTGTTTCCTCTCATCTTCTGTAAAGATTAACTTTTCATTTATTTCTGATTAATCTACTTTAAGGCAACATTATTCTCCTTATCTCTCTTTCCCTCACTCTCATTTCTTGCCCCCCTCCCCATTTTTTACCCCTTGCTCTAGTTTCGAAATTTTTACTGGCTTGTTAATTACTTTTTCTTTCTTTCTTTTATCTAGTTATCCACTTCTATCCCTGTTTTTTTTTCCATTCTCTGCTAAGTAGCCAAGTAAAATCTCCCTCTCCTCCTCTTCAATTCCTTTTGTTAGTTTAAAATTTTCATTTTCTGCATCTTTTTCTAAAAAAAAAATTCTTTCCCTCATTCTCTTTATTATTAGCATTCATTTTTCTCTATTCTAGATTTTTATTCTTTAATCCATAACCTTTACGCTTTTTTATTCTTTCTTGAGTCTATGTATTCCTTATGGAATTAGAGCTTCTAAGGTATTTGCCTATTTTGAGTTCTCTGTTGAAAGTTCCTATGTTTTGCCTTGTAGATCTTGCCCCATGCCCTCTTTTTCTGACTCTCTCTTAGAAGTATCTATTCCTTCAGGAGATAGGGAAGGTAAAAACATTGTCACTTGGTAAAATTTTTTTTTTTATGTCTATGTGCGGTTCATTACTATTCTTTGCTCTCCTTATGATCATTTCCATTTGTCATGAAATCTCCTCTCTGGGTTCATGTCTTCTCACTCCTTTGAGAAACTTTGATCTTTTTTCTTTTAAATTAAATTTTATATTTTCAATCAGCAAAATTCTGCCTTCTCTCCTGCCCTCTTTCTCCTTTCCTTCCTTCCTTTCTTCCTTCCTCCTTTCCTCTTCTCTATAGTCATTAGCACTTTTCCCTTAAAATAACTTTGTAAGAAATCAAAGCTATCCATACTCATATGAAAAAATGCTATAAATCACAATTGATTAGAGAAATGCAAATTAAAACAACTCTGAGATACCACCTCATATCTATTAGATTGGCTAATATGACAAATAAGGAAAAATGTTGGATGTTGGAGGGGATATGGGAAAACTGGGATACTAATGCACTGTTAGTAGAGTTGTGAACGGATCCAACCATTCTGGATAGCAATTTGGAACTATGCCTAAAGGGCTAAAAAACTGCATACCCTTTGATCCAGCAATACCACTGTCAGGTCTATATCCCAAAGACACACTAAAAAGGGAAAAGGACTTATTTGTACAAAAATATTTATAGCAGCTCTTTTTGTCTGGCTAAGAATTGGAAACCAAAGGGATGCCTGTCAATTGCGGAAGGGTTAAACAAGTTACGTTATATAATTGTAATGGAATATTATTATGCTATGAGAAATGACAAGAAGGGTGATTTGAGAAAAACCTGGAGACATTTACATGAACTGATGCATAGTAAAGTGAACAGAACCAAGAGAATGTTGTACACAGTAACAGCAATATTGTTCAAGGAAGAAAGACTTAGCTATTCTTGGTAATACAATGATCCAAAACAATCCCAAAGGACTGATGATGAGGCATACTACCACCAGAGAAAGAACTGATATTGTTTGAATACAGACCAAAGTGTGCTATTTTTCACTTCTTTCTTTTATTTGAGTCTTCTTGTACAAAATTATTAATATGGAAATGTTTTACATAATTTCACATGTATAAACTATATCTGACCACTTACCATCTCAGGGAGGGGGAAGGGGAAGAAAGCAGGAAGGGATAGAATTTGGAATTCAAAACTTTAAATAAAAATGTTTAAAAAAGAAAAATAATCACTTTGTATTACTTTATAATTGCTCCTCTTCTCCTCTTTGCTTCTCTTCTCTCTCACTTTGTTGGGCTCTCAAAACTGAGAAAATGTATGTTGAAGTGTTACATGTCAGCAGGGCTTTATTTTATTTGATTGAGGTATTTTGTTCATTGTCACAGATGGCAAATAACCACATTCAATATTTTGATACTGAAGGAGAAAATCAATAACAAAAGGCAAGCAGTGTTTTATATTTGTATGAAACCTTTTATCAAGAATTTTCAAGTGCTCTATTAATGTTACCTGATGGTAGGTGGAAACATTGAGATCCCGAAAGGTAAATTTACAGTGTTTTATCTAGGTCATAGATGTGTCTGTTGTGAAGCTGGGAATAGAGATAAATAGATCTCCTGTGTTGTATCCAAGTTGTTTCCTCTAAGGAAAAGCGAAATACTCAGAAATCTGACCCATCATATTAACCTTGAATTTTGTTTGCCTTGTTTTATATTAAGACTGTCCAATGTTGCTATGATTTATGTTACTCCCTGGAGCTCTATTATATTCAATGAAGTGCTGTTAAGAGTATGAGAGCTGTATTCTAAGTGACAAAAAAAAAAAAAAGGAAAAGTGAATCAAAGACGAAGACGTAGAGCCAAAGCTGAGACAAAGCTCTTATCTGTACAGCCCCAGATTTTGGTCAAGAAAAGCTCAGAGAGATCAGAGACAAATTGTAATCTATGATAAACAGACAGGGAAACAGAGTGGGTTAGTTTGGAGGAAAGAAGCTCAGGGAATAGATTTTTGGACTGGAATATTCCAGGCCAGGTCACCTGACATAATTTTCTCTGTAAGGAACCGTAACACCATGTTGGAACCATAGTAGGTGCCAAATAAATAAAGTCTGTCTTTTAGTCACATATGATTAGGTAATACACACTCTCTATGTATGTCTAGCCCCTTGAGATCTACTGCTGGCCATGAGAATCCTCTTTTCTCCCCAGTGCTGCTTCTTGGGATTTCTATTCCTCTTTTTTCACCTTCCTTTTCTATTAACTATTGTCTGGAACTGTCATCCTTTTTTTTCCCACCTCTATTTCTCACATCACCCCAAGGATAGGGTCAGGGCAGTTTTGTGACAGACCTTTCATTAGAAAGGTAGAAGGGGAGAGAAAAGGAAGGAATATCCTTGGGAGTTTATCTTCCCTTCATCTTTCCTTCCCCTTATTCCTCACCAATGTCATAATTGCTGCTGGTTCCTTCAATCTACCACCTAACTTGTCAGTAGTGACCCCAGAACCATCCCACCTTCTCATTCCCAGCCTAGAGAACTGGAATTGCCTCCCTTCCACCATCTGTGAGGAAATGTTCAAGACAGTCTGAGTTTGGTTTTTCTCTGGATCACAGACTCATAGAATGCCAAGACTAGAAGGAACCCCAAAAGCTATTTATTCCAACCCTACCAAGTAGGGTCCTTACCAATAATCTTCTTCAATGACTCAAACAATTGGCCATTTAGCTTTCCCTTGAGGACTCTCAAGTGAGAAGGAACCTTCTTGAATTAAGCCATTTTTAGATAGCTCTAATTGTTAGCAAATTTTTCCTTACATTGGATTTGAATTTGCCATTCTGAAATTTTTGCCATTGTTTCTATTTCTATCTTCTGAAGACAAACAGAACAAGTTTAAGTTTTTATTTCCAAGCTATATCTCTGCAATTCCTTCATCCATTACTTATGTATATTCTTAATAGGACAAAGGAACTGTGCCTGTCGATGTAGCTTTAGATTACATTAGCTGTATATTAGGGTACATGTTAAATTAAGCTCAGATTTTCTCTCCTGCAGCATGAATTTGAAAACTGAATGGTCAGAATCAGGTTTGGGATAGCAGTTTTCATTTTTCACTTCTTGATATTTTGAAGAATAAAATTATCATTGATGCAAGCCAAACATTTATTAACCCCTCTGCTTTAGTAATCAATCAATAAGCAATTATTAAGCACCTATTATGTGCCAAACACTGTGCTAAACCCTGGGAATAAAAACAAAGGCAAGGGCAGCTAGTTAGTGCAGTGGACAGATAACCGGCTGTGGATTCAGGAGGACCTGAGTTCAAATCTGGTCTCAGACACATAACACTTACCAGCTGTGTGGTCCTGGGCAAGTCACTTAACCCCATTGCCTAGCCCCCCCTCCAAAAAAAAAGGCAAAAGATAGGCTCTGCTGTTATGAAGCTCATGGTCTAATGAGACAGACAACATGAAAACATAGAGGGAAGGCACTAGCATAAAGGAATGAGAGTTTTGGTGGATATTCA